TTTAGGTGTATATCAGTATGTAGTGTCTCTACTTTAAAGAGTCCTCTCCTGCTGATGTTCAGGTGTATATCAGTATGTAGTGTCTGTACTTTAAAGAGTCCTCTCCTGCTGATGTTCAGGTGTATATCAGTATGTAGTGTCTGTACTTTAAAGAGTCCTCTCCTGCTGATGTTCAGGTGTATATCAGTATGTAGTGTCTCTACTTTAAAGAGTCCTCTCCTGCTGATGTTCAGGTGTATATCAGTATGTAGTGTCTCTACTTTAAAGAGTCCTCTCCTGCTGATGTTCAGGTGTATATCAGTATGTAGTGTCTCTACTGGGACATGTCTCCATGCTATAATGTTCAAAAAGCTCTTTATTGTTCTCATACTGCCTGTGCTGCAGCACTTCTTTTCACCCTCTGTCTGAAACCAGAGCCCAGTCTGCTCTGATTGGTTAGCTGGCCGGCTCTGTTGTGATTGGTCGACCGCTTAAAGATGTCCCGCCCCTTAGCCAATCACGTACAATGTGCTGGAGCGCTAGCCAATAGAAGTGTGAGTGTTACACAGTGCTGTCACCGGGTGTTTCTCAATGTCGAGGAAAGCTGCTCCAGAGCCACGATTTCAAGGATACTACGTCATCGAGTGCCACCGAAGGACTGTTCCAATGTCCAGGATGGCTAGGACGCACTGTTTACCCAGCTGGTCTGGCCCTGTCCCCCCCCCCCCCCTATTATGTCTTATCTTTTTAAATGCCTTTGTGATGTGCTGCAACCCATTTTCCCCTCGGGGACAAATAAACGAATACTACTACTAGGATGCTTGGAATTCTACCGATGTTCTTCGTTGCTGGAAATTTCGAGGCTGCACATGTGTAGACTCCGCGTTCTTAAAATCCCCACAATGCTTTGCACACGGACCAATTTCCAAATCTTTGGCGGAAAATGTAAGGCGGGGCCTCTCATATGACGCACACCTGCACACTTGCTCGCCTATTCCACTCTTCGATTTCCGAGGCTAGGAGGTATTCTTGCCTCGCTTCTGAAGGAACTCACTCGGAGGTACACGTGCTACTAAGCAAGCCTCCTCGACATTGAGAAACAACCACTGTGTTCAGGGAGTAAACAAAGGAGCCTTTGCAGACCATTTACATGCACACAAACCTATACAACACACTACAGGAGATGGACGACTCTAAAAAGCATAACAGGGCCTCTTTAAACATGTATTACTTAACAATTAGTTAAAAAATGTCATCGGTAACCTAAGCTGAGTATCGCAATATAAAAGTAATGTAACCTGATTACTTCCTGTTGCTTTTGGGTTACCTCAACCTCAAGTCGTGTTTTACTCAAGTGTATTATGTAAGACAACTGAACAATGTGACCTTAGAAAAGAAGAAACCAAGATATTAAGGGTCTAAAATGTGTCCTTTTCTCAGAGATTTTATTGATAGGAAAACCTGCCTTTCATGAAGCATATTCAGGCAGCAGCCTATACACCAACAATGACACACATAAGCACATACTACAGTTTAAAAAAGCAGAACTGAAGTCAGAATGCTCCGTTTTAGTTTAATACACACAGTTAAGCTCACACACACTATTTTATGAACATATAGGTTGAATTAAAAACAGAACAAATGAACCAAAGAAAGTGAAAACCATAAAGCAGATCCAGGCAGTAGACGTATAGACTCACACTTAAAGTATTATCCTACAGAACAATACAGAGAAGAGAGAACATCTGATCCTTTCACGACAAACATTATAAGCTCTTTTTAGTTTATTACTAACACTCCATCCTGCAAGTAATCCCGAATGTAACTGTAATCTTTTTAGTCTATAACGGAATACAGCTACCTTTCTCTGTATCCTGATTACGCTTCATGTAATCCTTTACTCCCAAAGCCTGACTCCAGCCTCCTCTGTAAACTGAAATCAAGTGACCGCGGTGTCAGGTGAACTTTAATGGCTTAATCGCCTACAGTACATCGCAGTCATGCCAGTCGGAGACACATTTGCCAGGTGAACATTATCCCGTTTAGCAGCAGCCGGTAACATTTGACACACACTCACACTCACACTCACACTCACACTCACACTCACACTCACACTCACACTCACACTCACACTCACACTCACACTCACACTCACACTCACACTCACACTCACACTCACACTCACACACACAGAGACAAGCACAAACACATACAGAGACAAACACACACACACACACACACACACACACACACACACACACACACACACACACACACACACACACACACACAGAGACAAGCACAAACACATACAGAGACAAGCACAAACACACACACACACACAGAGACAAGCACAAACACATACAGAGACAAGCACAAAGACACACAGAGACAAACACACACAGAGAGACAAGCACACACACACACACACACACACACACACACACACACACACTCACACTCACAAACACAGACAGAGACAAGCACAAACACATACAGAGACACGCACAAACACACACAGAGACAAACACACACACACACACACACACACACACACACACACACACACACACACACACTCACTCACACTGCTGGAGTGTGTCTGTCAGTGTGGCACAAGTCAACAGAGGTTGCTTCCTCTTTGGAAAGGTTAAGGGTCAAACACAGCCGTGTGACTTGGAGGTAATGAAGACACCTTTACAGACCAGGAAAGAGATGATTGGTTGCTTTTCAAAGTCAAAGTTAAAACCGGGATAACGTCTTGTTAAGAATGTTTTAATAACACTTTATTTCCAGATCATTTCCAAGAATGTTCCGAGAAAGACCGTCAGAAAGGGGGAATTAATACCGGGATAACAACAGCAACTTCACAACTATCTGGTCCAGGTAAAGAGCTTATGATTACAGTCCATGACCACATATTGCCCCTCTGTACCCTTTAATGAAATCTAATGAAAGAGAAATATGAAGCTGTGTTAAATTGGTGCAGTTCAAATGAACTGCCGACCAATTACCGGTGTAAGCACAGCAGGTCAGGCGGAACAAAACAACTCGTTCAGAGAGTTTCACAGATAAATGAATAATAAGTGGATCTGAATTGAGCTTTTATTTTAAGGAAATGTCCTATTTTCCATAACATGTGTAAGAAAACATTTAGTTATTTCCAGGAAACTTCTAAGAAAAAGTTTTGGAAATCCCAAATAAAGCACAAGATGTTTTTATTCTTACTCAGTTCTTATTTCATTTCTCCATTCAATCATTCACACATGTAATTGTGCACCCCGCACTGTATAATGTTAATTAAAGCTGAACTTTCGCAGGCCGTGTTTCAGTGTGAAGCAGCTCCTCACTAATTATGAGTTGAAATCTTAAACGCCTTCACCTCCTGACCCAATGTGACCTTTGACCTCCACACATACCGGGAACACTAAAAACATGATGCCTGTTGCAACACCGCCACATCATCTGAGGAGGTTTATCCAGCTTCAGATTGAACCTCAGGGATATTTTATTTAAGATCACATCATTTTGCATCTCTAGATATAAAAAAATGTACTTTCACTTTCTTTGATTTTATCTTTAAATCTTTATATAGTGTTATAGTCAATTGTTTTGTCATCTGTATATACATTTGATGACATTGTATGACTTTCCTTTTATAATCTTTTTAACACCTGTACACGCCTTTGTTAAATTCTTACCTTGAGATTTCATTTTTTTATTCGTTTTTTTGGACATTTTGAAATGTATTTATCATAAAGTGTGTTATTTTGTCATAAGATTGAACGTCTTTGACCAAAAATGATATAATTGGATGAATTACGCTGGGCTGTCTTAGTCTTGTGCTTTCTGGCTTCCAACTTTGTTTTCTAGTCCATGTATATTATTACTGAGTTAGTAGGTTAACAAATGCAAATATACATTATCAGCAACATCCGCCTGCTGCTCAATAAATACATTTCAAATATTCTTCAAGGCTTTCTTGTTTCCTTTCCGTCTCAACCACAAACACTGTTACAATTTCTCAGAGAGACATTAAGCCTAGTGGGATTATTTGAGTTTTCCGATTGAAATCTGACCTCCTCACGGGAGTTAGATATTTGTTTGTGGTCTGTCGTCCCATGAAGAGAAAGAGGAACACTTTGTCAGGCCGCTATAACACATAAACACACAGCTGCTCCAACCTGGTTGCTCATCTGTCATTCTCTCTTACAATTCACATTCAACTCTGCAGGAATTGCCCTTCAAAACAATAAACAATGCTTCAAATCGATTGCTGCAAACAACACAATGCTTCAGGTCCATAGAGCAGGTGTTATTAGATAAATAAATACGAGTGGATGGCCGACACGACGCTCCTGGGAGGAATGGCCGTCACTCTGGGTGAGCATTTAAACAGATGAAGCGGGGGATATAGTGACATGACTTCACTTCAACACGTACATCTAACCTGTCTGCTCAGGTTTCCTGTATATCGGTATTTATATCCACCGACACATGAAAAACAGCGATGACTTTACAAGGCTGCAGCTCGAGGAGGAGGCGTACAGATGGAAGAGGATAGACAGGGTCACACAGAGAAACGTATATCATCCGGGGATCGCTGAGTTCTGCAGGGATGAGGGTTTATCACTCTCATAGCGTGGGAGGGGGCACATGTGTTTGAAGGCTGCTCAGATGAACTTGACATTAAGTTGCAGATTGTATAAGAAGTGAAGAGGAGGAAGATGGTGGAGATGTATTGAGGAGTGTATGCATTGAGTAGAGTGAAAGTCAAACAGAGCAATGCTGGTAGAAGACAAAGGATGCAGGATGCAGACAAAAACTAAAGTAAAGTGGAAGCAAAGTTTTGAAAAGAAAGGGGAGGAAAGACAAGAGCAGCATTGAAGGGGTGGTAAGAAGTGACAGGTTGGGAGATGGACAGATGGGGGGAGAAGCAGGTGGAAAGGCATGACATAAGAGGGGAAGAAAGTACATTTTAAACAAGCCAACAGGTAGAGGAAGATTTAGGAAAGACTTACCAGGGTCTGCTGGTATCTCAGAGCCTGCCTTTGCGACGCATCTTCAGCCATTGACACGCTGTCACTGGTCCAAAAATAACCTCGCTGGACACCCCAGCATTTCCAATGACACTCTCTCTTTCTCCTATATCTATATACTTATACCCACACACACTTTACACCAAGTCAAATAAACATCTTCTAAAGTTTCTCACTCTCCCATAAACTCATTCTCAACTGGAGAAAGTCCAAAAAACTCAGATGGCGTCCTTCCCAAAGACTCCAGGTGATCCAGAGGCTGCGAGCCATCCACTGCAGACTGACGGACACACACACACGGTCAGAACTCAGACACACCCACGGTCAGAAATCACACTGACAGTGACAGACACACACACACGGTCAGAACTCACACTGACAGAAACACACACGGTCAGAACTCACACTGGCGGACACAGCACAGCAAAGCCATCTGATGAGGCAGTGAAGGACGCAGAGCTTTCCTTTATTAGAACTGCAGACACCTAATAACACACACACAACTTGTTGCCCTTAGCAGCACCCTCCCTGCCAGCCGGTCATTAGGTGTGTGTGTGTGTGTGTGTGTGTGTGTGTGTGTGTGTGTGTGTGTGTGTGTGTGATGGACTGCTCTTGTTTGGACAGGGCACCCCCCATAGGGCTGCCCCTGCAACGTGAGCAGGAAGGTGCACACGACCCCACCTCCCCCCCCCCCCCCCCCTGTGACAGCACACACCTAATCAGCCAATGATGCAAGGCAATCCCCAAAACACTCACACGTTACAGTAGCTCTCTTTAGTGGAGACAGAATGTCATCCCACAGGCCATAAGACTGTTAAACAACAAGATTTGCATTGATATATCTACACTGTAGCTATGCACGCATGGCCAATAAAAGCCTTGAATCTTGAAGCTTGAATAAATCCCCCCACAGTGAAACACAGCCCAAAGTGCTCCAGGACCCCCTGCAGAGCTCCGTAAAGTGATCTCTGTGTTGCCTAATCTGTGCAGCAGCTTCAGATATGTGCAGCAGCTACAGGACGGGCGCTAAGCCATGTGAAGGCCGGACCTCTGAGTCGACTCACATGCAGACGGATCTGTTGAGTTGGCTTCAAAGACACTTCTGTGAAACTGCAAAAAGAAACATGCAGAAGCACCTGCACTTTATATCCTGTGTTTCCCAGAGACATGCTCATACGTTTCACTGACATACTGTAGGTCATGGAGCTTTAAAAAGCATGATTACATTACTAATCGACTAATATATCAATGAATATCTGTTTGGATATTAATACACCACTGTATTTATTTAAAGGGGACCTATCATGCTATATTTGAATAATATAGTGGACCATACTTATATAAGGCATATTTATACTTTTTTTTTTCAAAATACCAAACAGATCATTCATTTTAGCCATGCCTCATTTTGCTCAATTTGACAATTTCTAGCTCTGTTTTAGCAAGGGCAGATTCAGTGAGAACAGCACCATCTACTGGCCTGGCATATGTACTACAGCGTCTCCAGCGCTTTCGAACGGCAATGGCCGTGGCTGTCTCCTCCTGATTGGTGGAGTTGGCCCAATAGCCGTAGCGCCACCGTCCTGACGTCAGGACAGTGTTCAAATCTGGATCAGTTTTGATCAGATCCGTTGCAGCCCCTTTTTTAGAGATTTGGGTATAGAGGAAAATAGAGAGGGTTGTGTTTCCTGACACTTGGTGAGTTCCCTGGAACACCGGGGACACATATTCATGTATAAAAGACGCACAAAAGTGCATTTTGCATGATAGGTCCCCTTTAAATAAACACATTTTCAGTTGTATTTATGCACTTTAGGTCTTGTTTTAAAAAATATTCTTACTCCGGCTTGCAGGATAATCAACGCTTTAGTTTCTTTAACTGTACTACACATTGTTTATCCCTTTTAGTAACCTTGAACAAGTGAGCAATATATTTACTAACACTTCCTCATTGCATTTAAGTTTACATTCGAAAAACTGTAAGTACTTTGCATGTTGTATAATGTATATGTTGGTCTATTAAAGTGTATTCTAACTTATTCTGCATATATCTTGGATATACAGTATATCTTTCCACTGCTGATATGTATATTTTTACTGTTAATTGTAAAGTTTTAAATCAAAAATAGTATGTTATATTATACTAGACACATTTTGCATATTTATTGTTGTCAATACTTGTAGTGCAATGTGCATATTTGTATTTAAGTATTTATATTAATACACATATTTTTATATTATTATTCTAAAAATGGAGCAACTAACAAAACCTAATTATTCTGATTGATCAAATGTTAATTGACTAAAACCAAAAAAGCCAGTTATCCAATAATCAACCAACTGTATGAAGCCCCTTGTATGTGCTGCACGTCGTCACTAAGAGCTGGAAAAGCCACAAGCCAATCAGGGCTGAGACAACATCCCACTGACAAGTTCATCTAAACTCGTCCTCCGGTTTCCCTCTCAGGCTGATGAGCCAGGCGGCCATTATGACACTGACACACACACACACACACACACACACACACACACACACACACACACACACACACACACACACACACACACACACACACACACACACACACACACACACACACACACACACACACACACACACACACACACACACACACACACACACACACACACACACACACACACACACACACACACACACACACACACACACACACACACACACACACACACCTCTTTGTGGTTCCACACGCCAGCGCATAACAGCCTAATCTCACAGCTACACGGAGGCCAGCGAGAAATGTGTTACTCTGACTGTGTGTGTGTGTGTGTGTGTGTGTGTGTGTGTGTGTGTGTGTGTGTGTGTGTGTGTGTGTGTGTGTGTGTGTGTGTGTCAGGGGAGAATGACTGTGGACAGCTGGCCGGGCCTCTATCTGATGATACACTCAGGACATTATCACTGTGAGCGTTCCCAGTGAAAACACGGAGAGACCTGAGCGCAGCAGAATGGAGGCGAGTGGGTTATTCTACACCTGAGATCAGAGAGGACAACACACACAAACACAGCAACAAGCAGGATCAAGTGAGCACGGGAGAGTATTCATATACAGGGACATCACAACGAGTCCCCAGGAAGGGACCCGTGCAGAGAAGCAAGGTTTCGTAGAGGCCGAATCTTCTGTGTCAGCGATGTGACTCCATTTGGGCCCAAAAATACTTTTGACCATTGACTTACATTGGAAAAGAGACACAGTATTCAGATTGATGTTCCCTTCTCCATAGAGTGGTGCAGGAATGAGTCCTAAAACCCAGAAATATGTTAGCATTTTACCTGTTCTAAAAGTCAAGTTTTTTTTGTGGGTAAAGCATGAAATAAAATCTGTGGTTAGCACAAGCTTACGAGATTTTCCCATTTAGTTTTACGACATAAGACACATCAGTCTGAAGCTTTTTACATGTCTTAAATATGGCAGTTGCTGACAAGTGACTAAAAGAGACGGCCTAACGTCATCACACCAAACATTATCTGCCTTTAGCTTAGCGGTGATAACGTTAAGTCATGTGACCATGATTAATTTCCTTTATAGCATGTTAGCTTTTTACTTCTGAAGTTTGCATTTACACAAAAAAAAAAAATCGTAAATTGGTGTTAACATGTATAGATTGTGCTGCTGTACAAATGTGAACGTTTTCTAAACAAGTTTATTTCCTGTAATATTCCGAAAACTAATGGTAAAATCCTATTGGCTTTTTATCAAGGGACCCCTTGCGATGCTCACTTCCGGGTCGGCCAACAAAAGTACGTCATCACTGCACCGCTCTATGGCATTTGACTAAACTGAGATTGGACGTTAGGTAATGGCGAGGAGGCGGGGTTTAAGGAAAAGGCAGTGGATGCATAAGATCCTAGGTTTCTGGGTATTTCCGCCTCTATTGTGATTCCTGTTCTCTTTATCATCCGTGCCTCACACTCACACAGCTGGATTTCAGCTTAAACGAAACAAAAGCAACAGGAAAAAGCATCAAATGCTCATGCAGCTGTAAAAAAAAAAAACACCAGGTTGTCTTGTTTATAAATCATTGGCCCGTTTATTGTGTGGAACATTTGGCAGTCATTGGTTTAGACAGAAATAAAATCTCTTGGACCGACAGCAGAGCTTTGGCAGCAAACATCAACCTTCAAACAGTCTCCCCCTGCAGCAGAGTAACCCTCTTACACCACTCGGATGTTTGGGTTTGGATTATTACAGAAATAAGAAAGGTGAGCCCCTTCCAGACCGGGGGTTAACTTGAACCCAAGCGCCTCACACACAGCTTTACAGATGATTAACAATCAATACTGCCTGGACCATATCAACTCTTTCTTTACTACAACACTGTTGTAACAAACACTTCCGGGCTTTTCTGGGAAACATCAATGCTCACACAGCCTTCAGGAATGGATTGTCAAACATATTCAATATTCTCGGAAAGACCGTCGTCACATGGCACAGGCTGCGGTAGAAAAACTGCATATTGCTAATGGAAGACTAATACATCCGTACTGTATGAGCTACAGTCAAATATGTGCAGCTCCCACATAAGGAGAGACACTATTAGGAGTCAGCGTAAAGGTCAGAGTTCACACGGTTGGAGGAAGACCCCGCAAGTAGCACCACAGCCCCCCCCCCCACCCTGACACATCTACAGTAACACACCGCTGAAATGTACAGTGGGGGACATTTAGGATTAAAAAGCTGAGTTCTGGTTGAACGTCGTCAAACAAAAGCGTACAAATAAATGAAACATTCCAAGGTCTTGTTTTGAAGCTGCCCTGTTTGGTTTTCCCTCTTCTTAAGAGAAAAGATGTGAGGAAAATATTTGTTTCTGCTGCACAAAGAAACTGGTAAATCATCACTTCAGCCTATTTGAACCTCAAAATAAAAGCTGGCAACAAAGATCTTGTTTAAACTGCACATAACATTGATGGAAAAAGAGTCGAGGTGCTGCCCCCTGCCTGTCACTACGAGAAAAACATACAATAAAACATTATATACAAATAAAGAGGATGGGCTTAAACATCCTTATAAAAACTATCTCATACAAAATAAAGCAACAAAAATAGACCTGTGTAGAAAATACATTTTTAAAAAGGGAGAGTGAGTGAATCCTCAAAGTAGCTGTGCAGTAGGAAAACAAAACGAAAAAAAGGATTATCAACTAAACCCTCTAACTGGCATAGACACACACACACACACACACAGACAGGAGTTAGTTGTGTACTCATACATTGCACATTTCCGAGTACATGTGGATGAACATAAGCTGGCTCTGTTTCCCTTTCCGTTTTTTTTTTACGAGAGTGTGTGTGTATGGATTTACACGGAGAATATAAATGAAGTTGTAACAGAGGAATGTGCGAGTGTGTGGCAGTAATTGGAGTGGAATGAACCGTAGTGGCTTCAATGCTAGGAATGCTCCATGTGTGTGTGTGTTGTTTTGTGGTTATTTGCATGTCAATACTGCGGTTGGTACTTGGGGAAAAAGTAGAGGTTTTTGCACAAAGAGCTGGTGAACTCCGACATCTCTTTGCAGCGGTGGTGGCGGGTGCCCGGGGCGTAACCCTCCCGCTCCTTAATACGCCCGTTCACCTGGAGAAATCAGAAACACAGGATTACTAAAGTTGTAGGAGATAAAACGCTTATTTAGTCTGAGTTTATTATTGCTTTTATTATCGTTATTTGTTCACAACACACATTTGTAATTGTTCAATTCCGGGAATTGTCACCTGGATGAAGTTAATGGTCTTCTACTGTAGAAATGTCTTTATATATATATTTCTATCTATCAATCTTTATATGTATCTATCTATCAATCTTTATATGCTCCTACCTACCCACTCACCTAACCACCTACCTACCTACCTACCCATCTACCTACCTACCTACCTACCCACCCACCTACCTACCTACCTACCCACCTACCTACCCATCTACCTACCTACCCACCTACCTACCCACCTACCTACCCACCTACCTACCTACCTACCTACCTACCTACCCACCTACCCACCTACCTACCTACCTACCCACCCATCTATCTACCTACCTACCTACCTACCTACCTATCCATCCATCCATCCATCCATCTATCTACCTACCTACCTATCCATCCATCCATCCATCTACCTACCTACCTACCTATCCATCCATCCATCTATCTACCTACCTACCTACCTACCTCATCTTAATCTACTAAGGAGAAAATAAATGTGACAATAAGGGAAAACTGAGCAAACATAACTTGAAAACCAAACCAATCAGTAGACAACAAATCAATAAAAACAAACCAATAATAAGAAAAGGAAGCACTAAGAAACATATACTCAAGATATAACTAGACATTGTGAATTGAATCTGATGATACGTTCAATGTAAATGTAAATATGTGAGTGCAGGGGATCTGTTAGCTCACCTGCACCAGGATGTCTGCCAGGTGAGTGTCTCTGGCGTTGAGGCGCAGGGAGGAGTTCAGCTCCTGAATGAACCACGACCCTCTCTTCGTGTTCCTCATGGCTGCCGTGCCTTCAGGGGGGAGAGATCACACGATAGAGGGTTAATGTACCGAGAGGAGACGCAGAGAGAAAGAAGGTGGGGTCTGGGATTTACACAAAGTCAAAAAACATCTTATACAACAACAGTTCAATCTCCCTTAGACTAAAATTGAGGAAGACAGAGATGAAGGGAAAGTTTATGAACTAAAACCATTGTGACACATTTCCTTTGTTCTTACTCTAACACTTTCAGACTCGCAAAGTACAGATTTTTTGAAAGTTGAGGTTTTACTCCACATATTCTTCTTAGTAGTCATTTTATAGCTTTAAGTGTTTAACCCCTAGAGATGTTGACTTCACCAAAGGCAGGGGTGTCCAGACTAAGCGGCCCGCAGCACATTCTAAAAGTATAATTGAATATGGCCCACACATGAAACTTGTGCTCTTATATTGTACTTCTTAAATATATCTAAACATATATTACACAGTAGTATTCATGTGTTAGTAAGCCCAATGTTCAAATACATTCAGTCAATTAAAGTTGGAAACATTTTCTAACATATCTAAGTTGATAAGAAAAAAGCCCAATAACTTATTTGCATAACAAGTTTGAAATGTAAAAAAATCTGCCCCTTCCTTCAGACTTCCTTATAGAGCCCCTCCTCCAACACACACGAACGCGCACATGACCAATGAGGGCACGAGATAAGTTTGTGCACGAGATGGAAGGCTGACAGGCAGGTAGGCCATCCAGTTATTTTAGCCGGGCCGGCTCAGATGATTGGTCGTGCTTTCTACAGCGCCACGGCTTCCACTGATGACATTTTTTGTATGTATTTATTGTCAAAGCATTTAATGTATTCATTGCTATCGGGATGTTAAGAGCATTCCATGGAATATAACAAAAAGTGTTTCTGAAGTGAATTACCTACCCCACCTTTAAGTTAACTTATGAGGCAACATACCTCACCTCTAGAGAGCGGCCCAGCCCTTCCTATATTCTTCTGTACCTAACCTGACTTAAGGCGATTTATGAGTCTTAGTGCGCCTCTGAAGTCACAAAAGGCTTGAAACAATTGTTCCCATATTTAAATTGAATTAAAAAAACACTTTGCACACTTTTTTCATGTAAATAGTAACTCATGTTTATATTTTTCATGTAGTAGTTGAGTTGTTTTATATTGTGAAATCTACAGATTGATATTTCCTTTATGTGCAATGACTTGTTAGCATGCTATTGTAACAAGTAGGACTCCACAAGACATTTAAACAGACTTTAATGACTAAAAGAAAATCAGTGGCGTTCCCCATAAAACACCAATATTCTCTCATATTTAGTTTTGTTGCAGAACCTGTGCAGATCGCACGCCTCACTGGTAGAAATTCAACACGATGGTTTGTTACTGCTGGTTGAAATGTTGCTTCAGTAAATAAAAACACTGCTTCTTTGAACAGCAGTTCAGATGACTAACACAGACATGAGTCATGACACAACATTATATTGTTGCATCGACTCAGTTGTGAGAAATCAATATTTTACCTCCTTGTGTCTATCTGATCAAATGTTATATGTTGCTGCGTGTACCTTTGAAGTTCTTAACAAATAATCTGAGGGGAATTTCTTGTGTGTTTTTAACTTGTGATGTGTCATTTTGTAAAGCACTTTGAGCTGCATGTGTTGTATGAAAAGTGCTACAGTGTATACAGGGTATGTGCAGGAATCCTGAAGTCAAATGTAAAACCTTTTAAGACCTTTTTTAAGACCCTTTCCATTAGGGCTGTGCAATTAATCGTATTTTAATCGCAATTACGATTTTGGCCTGCCACAATTACGAAAACAACATAATCGAAAAAAACAATTATTTTGCTTTGCTAGGTTGTGACAGTGCACTGCAACATATTTGATCTAATTAATTTTGGTCTCATTTATTTGTATTTATCATATTTATATATGTTTAGTAGCTTGGGGAAGTGTGCTCCAAAATATTTGTTGATCTTGTTTATTGGTATTTATTATTTTGATATTATTTATTTAAATGTATCATTTATTTTTGTATTGGTTTTTCAGTTGAATTATACGTTCAGGGAAATCAACAGTTAAAAAGATACTGTTCAAATTATTATTTGTATTTGTTTTAAAGTTCAATAAATTGATTTTTTCAAAGTCAATGAATAATCGTATTTAATCGTGATATCAATTATTGACCCAAATAATCGTGATTATGATTTTTGCCATAATCGCACAGCCCTACTTTCCATACATTTAAAGACCTCATCTCCACTTTGAGTTCTAACCGGTTACCTTGGCGACACACTTGACCTCACATTGACTATATACAGTATTGATTGTCCTTCCTCCTTATCTTCCAACCATTTGGACGCAGACTTGCATTTCCCCATAACGATGTTGTTTAACAACCGGCGTAAACGGACCTTCGCGCGCTATCAAGCAGTGAGCGTGCGATGTCCTGTTCAGATGACGTCCAATCCAACGGGATGCCATAAATAAACTACACAGAATCACACTACACACCTACGCAATGATTACATTCAGGCAGACTGTAGAATACAACCTCTTTGGAAAATGTATATACTTATTGAAAACAAGCTACAAAATGTAATACCTTGGAAAATGCCGTTTAATACTTTTTAATAGCCTTCATTTTTGCTAAATTGATTTATCAACTTTTAATACTTTTTAAGACCCCGCGGACACCCTGTATATAAATAAAGCTTTATTATTATTATTATTATGAATCCAGCCCAGAATATCAAAAGGGACAGACTTACAAATGCTCTGACCTTTAAGCGATGCGTAGCCACAGATCATGTCAGAGCGCTGGGGCAGTTTGATCCTCCCCAGCCCCCCCCTCTGCCTGGAGGAGGCGTCCCCCTCCCTGCCAGCGTCTCTCTGCTCACAGCTGGGGGAGCAGGTCCTCATCGGGCCGTCAATCTGCTCCACGCCACAGTCCATCTCCTCTGGAACACAAGATTCTTACTTTTTAACATTTTTTATTCACCTAAACTTTGTATTTGTGCTATTGTTATAGACTTGGTGTAGGAGCCATTTTATGGGTGTTGTTGGCATCAGTGGCGGTTCTAGATCAATTTTACTGGGGGGGCTGCGGCCAGTCATTTCATGAGAGGGGCACAATAAAAGCGGGTTAAAAAGACAAAGACAGTATAAAGTAATAGTGTAAAATAAACATAAAATACAGTAATTAGGCGCTTTCACACTAAGTACTTTGCCGTACTTAGTTCATGAGAACTTAGTTCATCAGAACTCTTTAGTTCTGATGAACTAAGTACAGATCGCGTTCACACCGGAATAAGTCCCTGAGAGAGGATTAGGCAAATGAAGCTGCTGACCACTTCTTCTTCTTCTGCTTTGGGTTTACTGGCAGGCCGCAAACAACTTGACGGCGTATACTGCCACCCGAAGTCCCCGGCCGGAAGTCCCCGGAGTTGAGGACTGGCTTCAGTTGAAGCTGCTGGGACTCCCAGCAGCTTCTACTGAAGCCTTCCGAGTAAATCACCAGAACGCCGACATCTCCACCGCTCCCATGTTTTCTTTTGTGTTGCCATAAGTTAGTCTCTCTCCGTTGGTGTACTGGGCTAATGCTAATGCTAATAATGTTAATTAAAAATGGTACAGACAAGTGCATGCAGTTTGCTTTTCAAACTGGGACAAGAAAACAGCGGAGAAGTAGCGGGGCAGAAACCCTCCTTTTTACGCAGCGGTCCAGACATAGACATCAAACGGCAAAACATATTCAGTGTGCAGTTCCTTTGGCATTAGGGCAGGGATATCTAGATACTTTCCAAGGTTTGACATAATGAATTGTGCTACTTTTAAAGCAAGCTACGATGTTTTCAAATCTGTAATTAAAAAGGTCCGCAAAAACGCTATCGACCAATCAGATTGCTTGATTTGACTTGTCCGTTTTATAAATATCATTACATTTCGTCCGTTTCGAAACTAACTAATAACAAAGCTTAAGATGGAAACATTTAAGGTTGACTTCGACCTCCGGGGGGGGGGGGTCTTACTATGGAGGAGTGGATTGAGCAGTGCCTATCTCCAGAAAAAAAAGCACCTAAACGACGACATGCAGAGCTGCGTGAAGAGCAGGTAGACCAACTGGTAAAGTACCACCATTCAAAAGCTTTCTGATGCGGGTCTTGAAACAAAGCAGTCGGACCGAACCACGCCCCTTAGCTGTGATATAATGAGCATATACCACGGCCTGTCGTGAGCTATTGCTTAAGTATATACATATTTTTCAAGCACACGGCAAGTGTTTCTTTTTGTAAATTATTGAGTGTTCTTGCATTTTAATGTGTGAGTTTTTTTATACCTCGGGACTGTGGGAAACCGTATTTTGATCTTTCTGTGTGTACAAACATATTTTGAAATTGACAATAAAGTTGACTTTGACTTGACTATTGTCCTGCGATTTATTGAAGACTACATCTATGACGTGTTAGGACACTGTCCTCAGCATCTGGAGATGTGTGGATGATGGACAGATGTGTCAGTCGTCACCTGTCCCAGAGGTCAGGAGGGCGACAGGAGACAACATCTGGACATGCTGAGGGACAGCCTGGAAACTGTCCTCTCACTAACAGCACAACGTCTAATTATATTGCAGGGGGTCTAACCAATTTATTTATTTTTATTTTAATCGTGTATTTGGTAGGGACATTGCACATTAATGAACACTTAAAACAATAAATGTGCCAAGCGTAAATATGCCGGATTTAGCGTTGAGCTACTTTCCATCCGCAATCCCTCACATAAAACATTTAAGAACATGACATTTACAAACACAGCAAATACAAATACATGAAATGCTAGAAAAGTGCAAAAGAGCAAGAGCAGAATAGAGTGCCGCAGTGACGCGTCCTAAAACCGGAAGTAGGGAGGCTGTGGCTCAGTGGTTAGTGTGCTGGACTTCGAATCAGGGGATCAGGATCAGGATCAGGATAGCAAGTTTAAGTCCCACAGCATGTCGTTGTGTCCCTGAGACACTTCACCCCAAATTGCTCCTGTGGGGATTGTCCACAGTACTGAATGTATGTAAGTCGCTTTGGATAAAAGCGTCTAACAAATGACATGTAATCAATAAGTAAGTTCATAACTCTAATCGATAGATTTATGATCGATAGATTTATTATTCGAAAATTATAAAAGTAGGGTAGACATGTGGAGATTATCCGACTGAACAAAACGTGATCCGTCTCTTAAATGTGTGTCAACCACAGACCTTATTTCCAGCTATTTCCCAAAATCCTATGGAGAAATTCCATTGCTTTTTTACATTACATGACATGTCACTTGTTAGACGCTTTTATCCAAAGCGACTTACATACTCAATACTGTGGGCAATCCCCACAGGAGCAATTTGGGGTGAAGTGTCTCAGGGACACAACGACATGCTGACTGCAGTGGGGTTTGAACCTGTGCTCCCCTGATCCGAACTCCAATGCACAATCCACTGCGCCACACGCCTCCTACGCTTTTTTGTCGAAGGAACCGGAAGGAGCCCATACGCAGCTTACTTCCGGGTTTTAGGACGCGTCACTGCACCTCTCTATACCCAAGTATTTATGACATGGCAATACAATATAGCAGCATAGATACATAAAGTGCAAGAGAAGATACCCCTGTATTAAAGTGCATTTAGTGGTGATCGCACGTCTGTTTGTTTCTCAGACATTTGATAGAAGTTGCCTTAACACACGCCATTATCCATATCTTTACTTATTTGATTTGATTTGCATGTGCTTCCCTGTTTATTTCAGAATCAGAATTAAATAGGTTTACACATACGAGGAATTTGCTTTGGTATATGTGATGCATGCAAAGACGCGGAAAGAAGAATACGTAGCTAAACTACATCAAATGACGGTTATAACATCTATTTCAAACATTGATTTTAAGACTTTTATAACAAATTAACAATATTTAGACAACATGTGTAAAAACTGAATGAACGCACAAGACATAACAGAGGGCACCACAACACCGAGGCAGCAATCAGGCAGCGCCATCTAATGTGTGTTTATTTAATATCCACTACTCTGTTATCTGCACCGTCCCTTTCCTTTAGCAACCATTTCCCCACTATGATATGAATAAAGGACTTCTCATTCGGTTTATAGATTAGTGCAACGTGTAAGGCTGCACCATATTGGAAAGAACTTAGATTCCAATTTATGTTTAATGCAATAACTATTGAATGAAATAATAAAAGTATCCGTTTTAGTCAAAATCCTTCTTGTATTTCCATTAAACTGATATTTTTTGCTACCAAATCTGCCTTTTTGGGTGTTTTTTGTGATCATCGAAGCTCTCCAATTTACGTTTGAGGACTAGCGGGACTGGCTTTGATCGTTTGTTAAAATGTATCACTGATGATTACAAGTTGTGGTTCAGTGTGCAGCACATTTCACTCAGTAGAAACAGACTCTGTGAATGCAAGAAGCCTTAAATTGTAGTAAATGATGTTCAGTCAGACAGACCCGTCTATAAGTGAGTCACTGAACATGTTTTCCATCGCAGCAAAAAGGCTTCATCATGACATGTATGGGTTAATATGCTTTATTTCACACCCTGCGAGGTGTCTTTTGAGACAGTGAACATTGCGATGTTGATGCTGAAGCGATTTTGAAGTAGTGCAGGTGTTTCTGACAAACTTTTGACACCCTGGCCCTTCAATATAAGTTTAACTATATATCGTGACATAGATTAGATTGTATGTCAATAATGAATGACGATAGAGGGTGTACCGTATCATAATAAGAGCCTTACCTCCTCTGCAGGCCTGAATAAAAAACATCTTGGGTTTGTTCTGTAGCAGCGGACAGTGCGCGTTGTCAAAGGACTCAAACACCCAGTCCAGCTGAAAGTCAACAAGGGACACAATTAAATAACAAGTCAACAGTAAGCATCTTTAACCCGGGAAAACATTGCATACATAAACTAAGGAACTCACTGTGGTGTCAAAGGATCATATAATAGCCTTATACTCTGATTGCCTTTTACTCTGTTAAATTGTATTGTTAGTCTTGTATGTGTTTAACAGAGACATATGTTGAGGGTTTACATTGCAGGAGGGCAAAGGAAGTGTGAAAGGGGGATTTGCAAATGGTTAAGGACGAGGGGGTTTTATGGTTTAATGGTGGGGCTGTGTAGACGATGCCTAAGGCCCCGGCTCCACGGGAACGAAAACGGGTTGAATCCGCATATTTCTCATGCGTATAGCCCTTTAAGCTCGACGACACCGTAACGGAAACGTAGAAACAGACCCTGCAAACGACAACGGGTCCAAAGGTGGATAGATCTGGGAACGGAGCGCTCTGGGGGGTCCAACGGGGCCGTGTGGTAGCCTATACGGTCATCCGTTTCTGATAATGATGACGCAATAGCCCCGCCTCTCCCCGCCTCTGCTGCTCACCCCCACAAAAGTAAACTGCACACTGAATTCAGATTATTTATCTTTATCTCGATATGAACATAAACGCGAGTGAAGTCTAATCTGACAGGACGGAGACACGCAGCTCCTCCGGCTGTGAAGCAGCGGGAGCAAAACACACACTTCAAGTCAGATCATCACCCTTAGCTATTTTAATTACCTCTCAAACTACCTAAACTAGTTATAAATATGTTTATTTTTACTGTCGGGTTTACTTACTGGATCAGCTGCTGCATGAGGAAGCATGAAGATTTAAACTTTATCACACATTGACCGGCGAAAAACTCTGCCCGGATCCCTCCGCCCCCACCGCGGAGAATAAACAGAAGTGCAGCCATGACAACCATTCTTCTTCGCTGCTTTTGTGGAGGAAGTTGCTGCTTTTTGTGGAGGAAGTTACAGCGCCATGTACAGGTTCGGCATATGTACTGCAGCTTTTCCAGCGGTTGGATGTAAACGGAGCCGTTTCGTGGAGCTTGACACAATCCGGTGTATATTGCGTGTGGGCGGAAGGTTTTTTGCGGTTGCGTTTGCGTTACTCCGATGCGTTTTGCCGTATGGGTTCCCGTGGAGCCGGGGCCTAAGAGAGTTTAAGGGTGGGACCAGTTGGCTTTTCTCTCGACTATATAGTGTGACTGTGAGCTGTGTTCTGGGTGCAGAACTTCTCTATCCTCTGAGGATGAAGCTGCTCTGTTCCTGCATTTGAGATCGATTCACTTGTATATTGACTTCCTTTATTACTTTATTAAATATAACAAAAGACAAACTGTGTCCATGAATCATTTATCAGTTTCTCTAAGGAATTTCCTCCACACTCACCTGTAGGAGTTGTCCGTCTGTACCGTATATCGCCCCCTCCACCCCGTGTGAGAGCAGACACACAACGCTGCTGTCCCCCGAATGGTGGTCCGGCCGCCGGGTGAAGCTCTCAATGCACGTCCTCATGTCCTGCACAAAGAAGAAGGGATTTAACACGGATTATTTCGGTTTAAA